TTGTACATGGTGGTCTGCCCTCAGTCATATACTGGATTGGCTGTACTTGTACATGGTGGTCTGCCCTCAGTCACATACTGGATTGGCTGTACTTGTACATGGTGGTCTGCCCTCATTCACATACTGGATTGGCTGTACTTGTACATGGTGGTCTTCCCTCAGTCACATACTGGATTGGCTCTACTTGTACATGGTGGTCTGCCCTCAGTCACATACTGGATTGGCTCTACTTGTAGTTGGATGGATGAAACGATTAATGGGTGGATGGATGTGGGTGACTTCTTTTCAAAAATGCTGAACCATTTGAATTAATGTTTGTTGTGTTGCCTCGATAAGGATAGCTACAAATCTGTAGATGGAAGTTGATTTGCCAAAAATTACACATTAAGTTCATATGCCCTGAAAAGTGTGGTAAAATGCAAATGATATGCAGATTTTTACAAATCTCTTTGGTATCCTGATAACTGCTAGTCTAATTTCAATCAAACTTGGTTTATAGGGGGATAATGCAAAACCTGGTAAAGTTTTGGTGGACAATTTTCTTTCATCTCTATTTGTTTAATAATTTTGGTCTGTTTGGTCCAAGTCCTTTATATATTTTTTTCAAAATATTCTTGCCTCACGCATAGGAGTTGATTCAGTTTAGTTTGTCTGTGTAGGTGTCTGTAATTATGGATGTCTGACTGTTTCATCAATGATTTCAATGAAACTTGGTATTTAGATGCTTTGGAATTGGGCACAGATTGCATCAGGTTTTTGTGGAAATCCCACATACTGTATGACAGTCATGCAATAGTGTTATACACAGACTGAAAACACACAAAGATTTTTTTGGCAAAAAACGTTTAGTGACAGGTACCTATGTTTTAACATTCACTTTGTCTTTTTCAGACTTCACTGAAATTAATGCCTACCTCTTTAAAGAAGACTATTTGTGGAAAGAACACAGGCAAAGAATGTGATAATAACTTGAATACAGTTCAATATTCTGGTAGAAATTCTCAAGTAGTTGGACAGAACTCTAAACATTTGTCAGATGAAAATAAAAGCATAAAAGATATCAAGAAAAAAACAGCTTGCCAGCTTGGTGACATTTCTAATGGAATGGGCTTTGATAATTATAATGACAATGACAAGTCTCTTAACAATACAGAATTAGAGGTCACATGTTCAACTGAGTGTCACAAAACAAGTGAGGAAACCAAAGTTGGGGATGAAAATCTGGTGATGGTTGAAGATATGAATTTGGATTCACAGACGTCAAATATGGATTCAAGATTTGGGAATAAAGACAGCAGGAGCCAAACTTCAAGCAAGCAGGTGGTTAATTATAGAAACAAGATTGATTGCAGTAGCAATTTAAACTTGGCTGCTGAGAAAAATAATGCAATCCATAAAGAAAATGATAATGAACAGAACAATGTGCGTCATGACAACCAGAGTGATTGTGATGATGGCAGTGGTGTCTCTGGAATCATTGACAGCAATGCTGTGAGAAAAACTGATGAGCATGCAGACTTGCAAAAAGATTCAGACAATGGTAGGATTCCCTTTTAATTGATTTTCCCAGAATATTTATTTTATATGCAGAAACAA